TTTATTTGTTTGGCTCCTGCACCTGCGGATACAGAATCTAAGTTCATCTACCTTGGTAGGTGCTATAGTAGCTGGGGCTTCTTTTGTCATGGGCGTAGCCTCTTGGATCAATGTTTCGATTTATTTTTTTCCTAATTCATCTAGGCTGCTACAGTTGTTTATATGTCCTGTTCACTTTCCCTATTGCTAGAACATATGGATGGTGAACAGGTTGTTGGGCTTTTGTTTTGTTTTTTGTTTTTTTTTTGGTATCATGTTTAGTTGTGTTAGGTCCTGGGGTTTGCCCCTTGTAATCGTGTAAATTTTCTTGTTTTATTTATTTCTTATTCACCCAAAAAAAAAAGAAAAAGAAAGAGAAACAGGATGAAAATCAAAGGGAATTCAAATTCATCATTTTTGACTTAAGAATCGAACACTTTGGTAATTTTGAACACCTTAAACAATGTGCTTTAGTTAAACTAATATCATTAAGCTCCAGTTAATCCGAAAATTCTCGTTCTTAGAGGAAAAGCAAGGTTGTTTTGAGTTAAACTTGGCCACCTAAGCTAATGAAACAATTGGTGGCCTAAGCTAATTAGTTCCTAGAACAAAATACAGAAGGATGGAGAAGTATGGAGAAAGTTAGAGAGAAACATTCTTCTTGAGAGCAAGAAAAGAAACTTGGGGAAAGGAAAGAGATATAGGAAAAAAATCAAAGGGAATTGAAGTTCACCCTTTTGGAATTTAGAATTGAACACTTGGGTGTTTAAGAAAACCTTAAATAAGGTGTTTAGGTTAAACTAATACCATTAAGCTACGATTACTCATAAAATTCTCATTCCTAGTGGCTAGGCAAGGCTAGCTTGAGTTAAACTTTGCCACTTAAGCTAATGAAACAATTAGTGGCCTAGGCTAATTAGTTCCTAGAACAAAATAGAGAATGATGAAGGACGAAGAAAGTTAGAGAGAAACATTCTTCTTGAGAGCAACAGGAGAAAGTTAGAGAAACAAAAGAGAAATAGAAAGAAAATTAAAGGGAAATCAAATTCATTCGTTTGGACTTGAGAATTGAACACTTGGTGGTTTCGAAAACCTTAAATAAGGTGTTTAAGCTAAACTAAGATCGTTAAGCTTATATTACATTGAAAATTCTCCTTCTTAGAGTGTAAAGAAGGTTAGTTTATTCACCTCCAAAAAAAAGATGGTTAGTTTGAGCTAAACTTGGCCACTGCTAATGAAACCATTAGTGGCCAATGCTAATTAGTTCCTAGAATAAAATAGAGAAGGATGTAGAAGGACGAAGAAAGTAAGAGAGAAACTTTCTTCTTCAGAGCTAAAAAAGACAGTTATAGAAATAAAAGAGAATTAGGAATAAAATCGAAGGGAATTCAAATTCATGCTTGTGGACTTAAGAATTCAACGCTTTTTTGGGTGATTAAGAATTCAACACTTGGGTGATTAAGAAACCTTGAATCTGGTTCATAAGTTAAACTAAAATCGTTAAGCTACAATTACACAGAAAATTCTCCTTCCTAGAGGCTGTTCATGGTTCGTTTGAGCTAAACTTCCCACTTAAGCTAATGAATCAGCTGATGACCTAAGTTAATTAGTTTCTTGTATAAAATAGAGAAGGATGGAGAATGACGGAGAAGGTTAGAGAGAAACATTCTTCATCAGAGATAGAAGAGAAAGTTAGATAAAAAAAAGGAGAAATTGGAAGAAAATCAAAAGGAATTCAAATTCATCCTTTTGCACTTGAGAATTGAACACTTAGGTGACTTAGAAAACCTTAAATAAGGTACTTAAGTTAAAACGAATACATTAAGCTACGATTACTCATAAAATTCTCGTTCCTAATGGCTATGCAAGGCTAGCTTGAGTTAAACTCTGCCACTTAAGCTCATGAAACAATTAGTGGCCTAGGCTAATTAGTTCCTAGAACAAAATAGGGAAGGATGGAGAAGTATGGAGAAAGTTAGAGAGAAACATTCTTCTTGAGAGCAAAAAGAGAAACTTGGGGAGAGGAAAGAGATATAGGAAAGAAATCAAAGGGAATTGAAGTTCATCCGTTTGGAATTTAGAATTGAACACTTGGGTGTTTAAGAAAACCTTAAATAAGGTGCTTAGGTTAAACCAATATCATTAAGCTACGATTACTCATAAAATTCTCGTTCCTAATGGCTATGCAAGGCTAGCTTGAGTTAAACTTCCATTTCTCTTAAGCTACAATTACTCAGAAAATTCTTTTTCCTAGAAGTTATTCAAGGTTAGTTTGAGTTAGACTTCCCAACTAAGCTAATGAATCAGTTGCTGACCTAATCTAGTTAGTTCCTAGAACAAAATAGAGAAGTACGGACATGGACGAAGAAGGTTAGATAGAAACATTCTTCATGAGAGATAGAAGAGAAAGTTAGAGAAAAGAAAGAGAAATAGGAAGAAAATTAAAGGGAATTCAAATTCATCCCTTTGGAGTTGAGAATTGAACACTTTGGTGATTCAGAAAACCTTAAATGTTGTGGTTATATTAAATAGAGAAGGATGTCGAAGGACAGAGAAAGCTAGAGAGAAACTTTCTTCTTGAGATCTTGAAGAGAAAGTTAGAGAAAAGAAGGAGAAATAGGAAGGAAATTAAAGGTAATTCAAATTCATCCTTTTGTGCCTGAGATTTGAACACTTAAGGAATTTAGAAAACCTTAAATGAGGTGCTTATGTTAAACTAATATCGTTAAGCTACAGTTACTAAGAAAATTATTTTTCCTAAACGCTGAGCAAGGGTAGTTTGAGTTAAACTTCCCACTTAAGCTAATGAATCATTTAGTAGCCTAAGCTAATTACTTCATAGAACAAAATAGAGAAGGATGGACAAGGACAGAGAAGGTTATCGTGAAACATTCTTCATGAGAGCTAGAAAAGAAAGTTCGAGAAAAGAAAGAGAAATAGGATGAAAATCAAAGGGAATTCAAATTCATCATTTTTGACTTGAGAATCGAACACTTTTGGTAATTTTGAACACCTTAAACAATGTGCTTTAGTTAAACTAATATCATTAAGCTCCAGTTAATCCGAAAATTCTCGTTCTTAGAGGAAAAACAAGGTTGTTTTGAGTTAAACTTGGCCACCTAAGCTAATGAAACAATTGGTGGCCTAAGCTAATTAGTTCCTAGAACAAAATACGGAAGGATGGAGAAGTGTGGAGCAAGTTAGAGAGAAACATTCTTCTTGAGAGCAAGAAAAGATACTTGGGGAAAGGAAAGAGATATAGGAAAAAAATCAAAGGGAATTGAAGTTCAACCTTTTGGAATTTAGAATTGAACACTTGGGTGTTTAAGAAAACCTTAAATTAGGTGCTTAGGTTAAACTAATATCATTAAGCTACGATTACTCATAAAATTCTCGTTCTGAGTGGCTAGACAAGGCTAGCTTGAGTTAAACTTTGCCACTTAAGCTAATGAAACAATTAGTGGCCTAGGCTAATTAGTTCCTAGAACAAAATAGAGAATGATGAAGGATGAAGAAAGTTAGAGAGAAACATTCTTCTCGAGAGCAACGGGAGAAAGTTAGAGAAACAAAAGAGAAATAGGAAGAAAATTGAAGGGAATTCAAATTCATTCGTTTGGACTTGAGAATTGAACACTTGGTGGTTTCGAAAACCTTAAATAAGGTGTTTAAGCTAAACTAAGATCGTTAAGCTTATATTACATTGAAAATTCTCCTTCTTAGAGTGTAAAGATGGTTAGTTTATTCACCCCCAAAAAAAAGATGGTTAGTTTGAGCTAAACTTGGCCACTTAAGCTAATGAAACCATTAGTGGCCTGTGCTAATTAGTTCCTAGAATAAAATAGAGAAGGATGTAGAATGACGAAGAAAGTAAGAGAGAAACTTTCTTCTTCAGAGCTAAAAAAGACAGTTATAGAAATAAAAGAGAATTAAGAATAAAATCGAAGGGAATTCAAATTCATGCTTGTGGACTTAAGAATTCAACGATTTTTTGGGTGATTAAGAATTCAACACTTGGGTGATTAAGAAACCTTGAATCTGGTTCATAAGTTAAACTAAAATCGTTAAGCTACAATGACACAGAAAATTCTCCTTCCTAGAGGCTGTTCAAGGTTCGTTGGAGCTAAACTTCCCACTTACGCTAATGAATCAGTTGGTTACCTAAGTTAATTAGTTTCTTGTACAAAATAGAGAATGATGGAGAATGACGAAGAATGTTAGAGAGAAACATTTTTCGTGAGAGATAGAAGAGAAAGTTAGATAAAAAAAAAAGAGAAATTGGAAGAAAATCAAAAGGAATTCAAATTCAACCTTTTGCACTTGGGAATTGAACACTTAGGTGACTTAGAAAACCATAAATAAGGTTCTCATGTTAAAACTAATATCTTTGAGCCCGAATTAATCCAGAAATTCTCATTCTTAGAGGCAAAAGAAGGTTAGCTTGAGTTAAACAGGGCCACTTAAGCTTACTACAGAAACAATTAGTTGTCTAAGTTAATTAGTGTCTAAAACAAAATGGAGGATGGAGAAGGATGGAAAAAGTTAGATAGAAACTTTCTTCTTGAGAGCTAGAAGAGAAAGTTACAAAAAAAATAATAAAATAAATAAAAAAAAGAGTAGAAAATCAAATGGAATTCAAATTCATCCTTATGGACTTGAGAGTTCAAAACTTAGGTGAGTGAGAAACCTTGAATGAGGTGCTTAAGTTAAACTAATATCCTCACACAAAATTGCAAAACTATTT